CCCTATTATAACTATTAATTTCAGGATGTGTATAAGTGTCACTGTCATAAAAAGTCAGTACTACATTAAAAAACAGTATATCCAAATTAGAAATTAACTAAATAAGGACAGGCTAACAGAATTATCCTAACATTGATATTTCTACTCTAGTACAGTATATGACACTGTCACAATTACCTAGTTATTAAGAAATTCTATCTGGAAATGATAATTTGATAGAACTTGGCTTGCTTGATTCATTTCATGAACCGCAGTCTTATCTGCGGTAAGTAGAAAATTATTCGCCGGATTGGAAATGAATGGAATCATGGATATTACAGTTAGATTTTTCTTACATACGCATTACTTTACTGAATTAAGGAGAAAAAAATACCGATATAGCTAATCCATTTCATTAGTGTACCAGTGATTATCGTCAAGTAGATTATTTAAAAATATAATTTGCCATAGTTTTATATATCCATGGGTGAAGAAATTAAACTCGTGAAACAAATTAACAATCTGTCACCTTTCTAACACCTGCATTTGACGCTATTGATTTTAGCTAACTGATATCATTGCCTCATTGTAACAAGGAACAAAGAAATTACCAATTGAACTGATGATTCAATGTTAAAATTTTATTTGTTATTAAATCTAATTTTGATTTCTCATTGTCAAATAAATACCGGTTATTAATTTTACAGCTATTATCTTATTTTTTATCTACATTTGTAAATATCCAATTCAAGTGCCTTTTGTAGGCTTTTACATTCTTTATTGATTTCGTTATTCTAATATGAAGGTATAGTAATTAATTAAATAAATCTGCTTCCCGTTAATGCTATAATATCACAAGTCGTTTGCAAGACCATACATAGTTAGGTATTTTTAACAAAGAAATCTTTTTATCCAAGTACAATCCAACTTATATATTACCTGCCAATTATTTTCCCCTCCAAAATATGAAACTTCTTAAAATACTTGAATATTACCTAGCAAGATTTGATTAAATTTTACTAATTTAATAAACAGAGGATTGCATATCAAGATTTGTAGCTTACTTTTGTTTAAGTTTAGGTTCAGAAGGTCATGATATTTAGGCTAGATTGAATGATCGTTTTCAAATTCTAATCCGATTCTCTGATCGCTATGGATAGAGCACGGCCTCAACAAAGCTTGACGGTTTATGTTACAAGTTAGCTTTGTGAGAATTTTAAGTAAAGTTCTACAAATGATCCACTTAATTAAATGTTTTTCTTCTAAAGGTAAAATAAAAATACAAAAAATTACCATAAAGACCGAACTTTTGTTAGTAAACATTTTTAACTTATTATTTATGCATAATCTTAATCTAAGCATAATTGCTGTTTAGTACAACAATCATGGACTAGAATTTAAATAATCTTACTGATACCTATAAACAATAACTTTCAATCGAATACAGTATATAAAGGCTTACCATTAATAAAACTCGCATTAAGACATTATTTATAGCACTTAGTACGACAACTATGGATTTTTCCAGGTTATCTACTACTGCCATATTAAGCAACTATAACGGTAAAGTAACTCCGTAACAGCATAGCTATTTGATCTCTTTTGGAGCAGAATTATGAAAACTCTTGCAATCGTATAATTTAATGTACAGCAATGGAATAAAAATAACAAATAAATAAATTTGATCAAATTAGCTTAACTTTATATAACTAGCAAGAGCAAATACTTTTAATTAAAATAGCTCATTGAAATAATTTACTTATGGCATTTTCAGAGTATAGAATACTTTACTGCCCATATCTGTTCCATCCGGAATTATATATTTTCAACTAAATTCTATCTTTATATATTTTAAAGTTTAACTAATTTATAACAATAATCTGGATGCGATGCACATATTGCGGTGAACAAAAAACAAATATTAGATGGAATATGCTTACATGCTCTCTTTGCCTAACAAATTACTAGTATAAAATTCAGTCAAGTGCTTCAAATAGGACATCGTAGAGTAGATTTTAAATTATACAAATCGTTCATCTGATAAAATGCATAAATTCAATTTTAATCATTTACGATAGTTTCCTTTTCGATGTTTGCTTAAAATTAGCCAGTGTTGTAGCACAATTTAAAAAATTCTCTCAACTACATAAATTGCAATGAGTCATCAAGAAATTGCATTTCCTGATCTGATATTTAAATAAATATTTTAGCATGAAGTAAGGCCTTGACAGCTATTATTTATTACAGTCTACATATAGTAAATGCGGTGAAGAATGATAGATACAGTCGCAATGACGTCTCACTAACAGAAGTATAGCAATTATTGAATAACATTCGCTATATCTAAGGTAATCTTTATTCAGGTTTTTACTTTTTAAAATTTCATTTTTATTATGCGAGAAGGGGCTTCGAAAATAAAACCGTAAGTCATCATATACAATTCTTCCACTAATTTATTAAAAATCAAATTCGAAAATATGAAAACTTACACTTACTTAATCAATTTGAAATTTTATTTTTTTGCGAATTAATGATGCAACGATATGTTATTCCGAAATATGTAAATTTAATGATGATGTTAGGCTTTAACCGGCCATTATACATAATGGCCGGTTATGAGAACTGACCATAATCTAAACAAGTATAACATAATTATGTAATTTATTAAACTTTTCACGGACATATAATTTTATTATTATCAGGTTAATGTTCATTAATCCGGGAGATGTGTATCTAAATCGATTTTTGTTTTTCAGAAGTCTATTTATTTTCAATTAAAATGAATTAACATATTGCATCATGAGAGTATAGTGATAGAGAGATTCATGGGAAAGCATGAATACAGTCTTAATACGTAAATAGGGTCTTTTAACAATGATGGGCAATCGATATTGTCTTCTAAGGAATTTGCTATTATAATGATTCGCTTATCAGGGAACAGTTGGGAAATAAAAATCATTTTATCCGCTTGCGATATCTTTTTATTTCTTGGTCAACAAAAAAAATTTTAATTTTATAGCTAAGTTAAGAATCTTGTATTTAATTCAATTAGCAGTATATGAGATGCAGTAATTTATGTGTACAATAAGCTCTCTGAGTGGAGTTTAACTGTCGTCTAGATGAAATACCTGTTTCTCGATATTGAACGCTAATTTTATAATCTAGCTTTGTACTTTCATGGGTTTCATTACAGATGTTATTGAAGAATTTCGATACGATATCATCAAAATATTCATGTAAATTTGACAACACAAAGCAGAAATTGCCATTGAAATAGTTTGCATGATTTTTCAAGTTCAACCTTTTTATTATTTTACATAATTTTAATTGTTTACGCGCATTTACTTATCCTACTATTTTTCCATGATAACGTTCAGAAAAGTACTATTGTTAAGTTTCTGTATTGCTTCTAATTCCATGAAGCAATTTGCTACGAAATAAGATGTAAGAAGCATGATAATAGATTTTGATTGTGCTTGCTACCGTTTGATTGAGGCTCTTTTAAAACATGCTTTCTTGATTAAAGTAGTTTGCTCGATTATATCAACTTGAAGTACACGGTACTAAAATCAAAGCAATCTATAGAAAATTAATCTACGTAGTATAGAAATAAAAGCATTCTCTAGACATTTATTTTTAATAGTAGTTGCATAATTTTTCTATTATTAAGACCTTTTTTAAGTATAGAGAGATAACTTAATATAATGAATGTTTATATGGCCAATCAAACCACAATAATAGTATAATATTACACATATATATGTACTTTATGTACATAACATCAACTGTCGGCTTCTTAGAATAGACTTATCCATAAAGCACTGTTATTATTTTCTTTGTATCTTCTAGATTTAATTATTCTGGGCATTGAATGCTGTATTTCCTACATCAGAGATGTCGAAATTAAGATTGCACATGCTATAAAGACTATCAAAAATTCATAAACACGAAATTGGTAAAAAATATCCTGTTCTTAAGAAATACAGAAGTTTCCGCTTCCTTGATAGCTCTTACTAGCACTCTTTGTTTCTTTCTAAGACACAGTAAATTACTTTAAATCTTTCTTGCTGGAAGTAGATCATAATTGAACGATGCTATTTTACTATAGTATGCTGGGATTGAATATTGTAACTTAGTTATTCTACGAATTAAAAGTGATTTACAATTATTCAAACTAAATTTACGGTAAAACATCTTCCTTAACACTTTTGATCCAATTTTTATTCTAAATACAGTAGCATGAAGCCGGTACAAAAGTTTAAGAAAGGGTGTAGCTAAAATTAGAAAGTAGACAGTGACCTGAATAGTCTTCCGTTTCTACAATAAATAGAAACAAAATCAAAAATATTATTTTGTTGATCAATAATTCACTTTCTATCAGGTAAAGTAATGATGTGCTTTTGGCATCAGCCGAGAAATAATCGGATCTCAAATAATTAAGCTGTCATAGTTTTCTTCGCAAATGCCCAAAATTTAAAGATTAACTAAGGCCTTATGACATTTTACTAACAAATAAATGCCTTAGTAATAATTAACAATAATAATGATTTAACTGATAAACTAATTATGGGAAGGTTCCAATTTGAATAAATTTAGCAAAATATGACTAAAAGAGGATTTTTTATAATAAATTTACAAATTACTTTACAAAATGTCTAGAAATAGATTTATTGGACAAATTGATGCTACTTCTGTGATTAGTTAAATATTTACAAAGCTTGACTATATTGGATAAAAAGGTTTTAAAACTAAGAAATGGAATTAAATGTCGGTATGGAATCAGAATTGAACTGAAATACAATGGAATCTACTAACGTAAATTGTGACCTTCGACAAATAATTCTATATCTTTGTTGTAATAAGCTTATAATATTGCATCCAATTGTCAATAATGTCTTGCCCAGGTGTTCGAAATATAGAGATGACTAAACAGTTTGCGCGAATTATAGTCGTTATGGTAGGATCTATAAAGCTATTAAGGGTTAAATCAAGAATTAGTTTATCATCATACTGATGTAACGATGAGATTGATTGGTTGGTTTTGTGCTTTCCTTCTCCTTTCTTGGATTCCAGAATATCTCTGTCGAAATAATCTCACTGTAGTATGTTTAATACCTCACATAAGCTCGCTTTCGGTCGGCAAATTTTTGGTTACCTCTGTAAAGGCCGCAGGTCATGACATTAATCAAGCAAACAATATTTTATCAAACTACAGCCTACAGATGGAATTTTACGATAGCAAGGTGCGTGTTGTACGTATAGCTAATCGCAGATAGTCTACCAGTTTAGTAGATATAAAAGATGTCTCTACTTATATTGAATGTAAGATTGATAATTGAAAAACGTTTTATAGTATTTAGAATTGTCTGCCATAAATTAAACTTAACTATTTATCAACTTGAATAAACCTACCTTTCGACATAACCGCACAGAAGTTGACGCCTTATGTGATTAAATTATACTATAGCAAATTATAGCTTTAATTTATCAATGATTGAGTATCACATAGCTTACAGTACTAGTTTAAATGGTACATTATAAATCACATACTGTATGCACATTATGAATTGTCCTAAGTTATCGTCTCAGATAGATTTTATACTTCCTCATCTTTAAGTATTATCGCATTTATAACATTTTAAATTTGCAATACTCGTGTATTATAGTTCATAAAATACTATGGTCAAGGGCTGTTTGTAAGTACTCTTACATGCGCTCACATAGCAATATGTTATAAAGAATTTAACTTTTGAAACACGAACTTTACAAAAGTCATCATTTAAAACTAGGAGTGTTTAAGTAAGGGAATAAATTCTTATAGGGCGAATACACGTAACTTACTAGCTCACAACACAAACCGCTTCTTTACTGCCGGAAGCTGCATTCTAATGAAATAACTTAACTTGAAAGTTATTTTTTGGTTGCACTTATAAATTATATCCTAATTTATAGTGAAAGGCTCGCAATCAGCAGAAGTATTATAGCTATTAAAATGTATTCTTTTCCTATTCGAACTCACTATGGTATGATTTTACTCAATATATCTTATCTTATTTAGTCTAAACTGACCTAGTCTATACTCAAAAATACGCGTTTTACGAACAGATTCAATTACAAAAATCTCGCAGGCAATCGCAAATTAGATCATAATTATCAATAGCATCCATACGAGTACGCTAATTAAAACAGAATGGTTATTGATGAATAGGTCAGTATTTAATAAAGACTGCTGTAGAGTTTAAGGATTAATCGATCTAAGCAATTTCTCTGGCTAAACATATTAACTATGGTATCAGTGGAAAAAGATTTAAGGTACTAGTTCACTTTAATTGATAGATAATACCATTCTGTTCTAAAGACAGTCTCATCGTAGGAACCAAACCAATTGCAGTGTATTAATTACGATGCCACTTGATAATATCTGAGGTTTTTCTCCATCGATGATTAGGCCCTTGTCACGGTAGTGAATCTGCCGTGATGAATGATAACTTACTTAATTTAGACATGTATATGTATCACGTTAAGATAGTTATTAATTTAGATATGTGTATGAATTATTTGATGACTTAATATAGCCGATACAAACCTGTTCCTAATACAGGTTAAATTATACTTAATATGGTATATGAGCTGTCAATAGTAAATTCAATATAAATCCTGTTAATTATAAGCTAGGGCAAACATAAAGCTAATCTATAGCAATATTACAAATCCATTGGATTAGACAAGGAATAATTTAATGTATTCACGAAGTCTTATTGGTCGAAATATATCACACATCGTAAACCGGTTTTATGGCTAGAAAAGCTATTTAAATGATTGATTTTGAATATTAAATTAGACTTGCATTTTCTAGAATAAAGATATAGTTAGAAGATTCTGAAAGGCATTTCTCAGTTATTGTACTTAGCTAGGGTAATCTAGTTAGTTTAGATTAGGCAAGTTTAGTTAAGTAACAGCCCTACTAGAATTAGTGCCTGTTACGGAGCCATGCTCCGAAATATTAATTGCTAAGTTAATTAAAATATCTCATTTAAATTATTGTTTGCTCCAGTAGCTTATTAGATATTAATGTCTATTCATAAGTACATGTTCAATATTGTTGACATCTCGGAGCTAACACGCTTAGTCTGTAAACGTTAATTAATAACGCCTTAAGTGTAAGATCAATTACTTTGCAGAGCCTTGAGGCTCTAGTTGCTATACTAGGATATCTATACTGTACAGTGTAAGCCGCTATTTCAAGAATATTCACAAGTGTACCATCGGCGAGACTATTAAAAGCGGAGCACTAGCTTAGCTTCTCAGTTCCAGTTAGTCATTGCAGGATCTTGTGACTATTATTGCTAAGAATATTCTTACGTTTTTCTTTAGTACATTTTACGACTAAGGTTAACGAAAATAAAGTAAAGTATTTAAACCTGTTACTCAATAGTAGTTTTTTTGTGTAGCTGAGAGTTAGTTCAACTACGATAGGTCCCTAAGTTAGTTGGGAACACAAGTACTAGTGAAGATAGTGTTTAAGACCCGGTTTCTTGTTACAAAGAAGAAGATTTGTAACAGTGCCCAATAACATTATCACGTAGGTCATCAACCCCAATTATCAGAATTGTTGGCATCAATGCTATCTAGATTTACTAGTGATAAAGAATTGTTGCTTACGTTGCCAATTTCGGTCAAGAACAGAAATCGCCCAGATTTTTAATAATAGCAGAAGCGAAACTAATTAATCTATTTATTTAATTTCCCATTGAATATATTAAAATGGCAACTGCAAAATGCACTATAGTAACTCAATAATATTAAAAAAAATATTTTATATCCTACCAGCTATAGAAATCAATTAATCCTAGTATTTCAGCAATAGCTCGCATATATTACACAATATCAGAAGAAAATTAGATATTAATTTACATTGAAGCTGAATATGCTTCGCTACTGTTTGTTTTCTCTTCGTGATAGTCTATTAACATTAATTTGCATTTCTTCGTAGATTTTTCCATAATACACTTATATTTCATTTATGAAGCATCAGTTAGAAGTCATTTTCAAATGTATGGATTAATGAGTTTAAATTAAATTCGGCTAGTTTTCTAGCAACAAACACTATACCAATGCATTATTTTATAGTAAAGAGTTCTACTGACATACCTTATTGCTAATAGTAGATTAGTACAAAATTGATTAACGTATGTTGTTGTTCACCTAAATAAATAGTTTCATCTATTAATTGGCATAACAGATTCTAAATAATAGCTTTTAATCTACCGGGTTTATTTAATTGTTTCATAAACGAGTGCTATATCCTTATAAAATTGTATTTACAATCCTATCTTAGCTACTCATTGAAAATTTCAAGAATTTATGTGCTATTATTTTCTATATCAGAGAGCTGAGAGCAAATATTAATCGTATCAGCATTTTAATGAATAGAAAAAGATCAAAAGGAGAAATAAAACAAAGCACTTTTAAGATTTTTCTATTATAATTGTAAAAGATTTCTTTTGTTGATGTTAATGTAGCAGGTAACCGTAACGGCTTAGAATCAGAGCTTTTCTTCATTTATCTGTTATCGAAGGAGATACGAATGCAATGCTCATTATAATGTCGTCAATCTTAAAATTATTGTAGGTGTTTACTTCGTTTAATTTTTACATCTGCGCCTGAACTGAAAGCAAAACAGAGTTTCTTAATCTATAAGTTAGTCTTTTAATATTGTCATTATCGAGAAAATCTATTATGTTTCGGTGATAGCTGTCAAGCATTAAGTGACACAAGACGGCCTCAAAGAGTTTCACGTAATAGTTAGTCTTTGCAACTTAACACGTTGTATTAATGCGCTGATGGACTCCATATTTGATCATAATGATTGCTATATTTGATGTATTTAGGTTGCTAAGAATAGATATTATCGCGAAGCTAATATTAGATGATTGCTAACTACTATTATTAGAAATTATTGATGACTAATTTTGGCTAGTTTGCTAGCTATGTTACAATATATGTGTGACGTGATATACTTAAATTGTGAAGATGTCTAAGACCGAAAGGTTTTGGACACTAATATAAGAGTACTAATATCTTAAGTAAAATGATTCGGATTTCAGAAGACAAGTGGCGTTCTATTTGAGTAAAAGTATTCTATTTGATGGCTCAAATCTGATTGTGGTTAATTATATTGTCAAAAATCGATGATATAACGAAATGTATTTAAGAACTGCGGAAATGAGCTCTACGGAGAGATTTCACGTCACTTCAAGCTCGGAATACTTTAAATCTTAGACTATATTCTTGTAGTAATTAACTGTTGCTCTACTATTCTTAAAACTTTTAATGCAGACCTTTTAATAAGGCAATTTTTGTGAGATACCTTTATTACACACATGTATTGGTTACCAGCAATCTCATTAATTTGTGACAATTCAATCCCCACACATACTCGTATAAACATACAGTGACAGCTATTCTCTTACACTACGCATTACTAGTATTTAGTATTCTAGGATTTTTCGTACATAAAATTATGCAAATCATAATTTCCAACGTAATATAAATACTGAAAGATTCAATTTGTTAGGTAGATAAATCATAAATTCAAATATACCGTATGATTGGGTTGAAATTATTTATAGAAAAATATACTACAATGTCATTAAGGAATAACTGCTCCGATACAGGTGATATTACACCAGTATTTTAAAATTTCTTTAACATTTCGTTCAGATTTAGCTGGTCTAAATTATCCAATCGCAATGTTTCTATTATATTATAAAAACATTAAATTTATCTTTAAGTGACTGATTTTTACTAAATTTTATAGACAAATGGCCCACTAGCTACTAAACTTCTGATTGATTCAGTGTTCCGTCAACCCCAGAAAATTGCAGTTATTGGTCCTTTACTATCCACAACAACAGAATATGTTGCTTCCATTTCAAAATATTGGAACTTAGTTCAGGTATGTGTTAATTATTACTAGAGACGATAATAAAAAATTTATTCGATATCTAACGGATTTTATATTAAATACGCTGGTCGTCGATAATGCATATTTCAGCTATTGATTGATTTGGATTAGCTGGTAACTTTACAGTAAAACATTCTTTCTAATGAAGTGCTGCATACATTTTAAATATTCTTTCTACTTTTCTAGCTTGGTTATGCATCGACATCAATATCACTAGATGATAAATCAACGTATCCATACTATTTTAGAACTTCAGTAACTGAACAAAGCTATACTCCCGCAAGAGTGTCATTTTTTAAAGAATTTAATTGGAATAAAGTCGGGATAGTGCATAGTCCAATTGGTGCTTATCCGAAGGTAAGGAGAGTCCGCTCACAGTAAATTGAGATTGAAGTGTAGTGCTTTTATTATATGTTATTTATGGCATACGCAAGAACGCTGGTTGTATAATGGAGAAAATCACTTTCTTTCTTAAGAAGATATCCGCTATAAATTATTTCATTACAGCAGATTTCATATTAATGGTTAAATTTCGAAATAGAGCTCAGTCTATAAGGTTCTTCATCAATAAAATAGATAAATAGTGATATCATTTTGTTTCTTAAACAAGGAACAAGGATTGATCGTATTATTAGCTATTTACCCTAATTAGAAAAGCTGTATAGATTAAATATAAACAGTAACGATATGTTTTATTGACTATCAATGATAAATTAACTTCTAACCAAGTTCGAATGTAGACTTATTAAAGGAGTTACTGCTATAGCCTTTTTACTACTCTAGCAACAGCAGAAATGCCTTTAATAATTCTAAACTGATATTGACTTAATGCAGAAATTTTAATTTTGGATATATATTTAGCTGGCCTTATTGATTCAACGAGAAATGACTAAAGCAAATGTAGAAGTAGCAGTGATGGAGACCATTGACGCGGATGCTGCGTTTGCTTTGAATAGTTTAAAGGTAAAATTTTGAGAATACTTTCTCAAAATCAAGCTATCCTTGATCTTCATCAATATAGAAGTTAATTTTATTTTGATAAGAAATACTAGAGATTGGATTTGAACTTAATAATTTTGTTGTAATAGACCTCCGAGTCCTTCATGTATCGATTCCATTTAATTGCAGATACATTATTTCCAAAATTAATTTACTATAAAATAAGATTAATAACTTCGAAGACAGAGCTTCACTTAGCGCTCCTCATACTTCCCTAGGATTCAATCAGTACTGTTACTAGTATGGATTAGAATTGATAATATCAATGATAGAATTATATAGCAAGGGTAGTAAGAATAATACAATAATTTTGGCTTTGTTTTAATTCTCTATATAGCAAAAAGATGTTCGGATAATATTATACGTTGGATTTACTATTCCCGCCAGACAACTGATATGCCAGGTTAGCTTTGTTGCTTAGTAATCAGTTTTGATTACAATTTAATGATTATCTAAATCTTGTACTTTCTTCATATCTGAAGACATAGTCTCCTAAGAATTTATAAGTAATAGCGTAATTTCCGAAAGATTTCATAAATATTTAAATTGATCCTGAAGCCGAAATAACACACTTAAATGGACGAATTTCTTTATTAGGCTTATCGTAAAGGATATTATGGTTCAAGATATGTATGGTGGTTTCCAGGATGGTTCCGAACTGGCTGGTGGAAAATTTCAGATGCAAGTTTTAACTGCACTACCGACGAACTATTTGCAGTGATAAGAAATAGCTCATTTTACACTAGCGCACCTATTTATTCGAGTTCCAATACGAAAGGAATATCCGGCAAGGTGAAGTATTAAATAATTGATTATATATATTTTGAATATCTTTTTTAGTACTTGCTATAATAATAAATAATATTTTTTGATGGAATCAGACTAAAAGCCAATGTTAAGTTCTATATTGCAATTATTCCATTAGTAAGCTGATAAGATATATCCATATCAGAAATTTTTATCGAGAAAAATTTAAACTCTATTGTCACAATCATACTAATTAAATAGAAATATTTACTTGAAAATAGTATGAAATAATATGCCATACTTTCTTAAAGGTGCTTCGTGCAAAGTAGTTGTTAGGATAACATATTACGATCTGTTGTTACACTTTAATATGATTTTAATATAAAGCATGCGTGGACCAGCAATAGATCTGGTGATCCAAATATAGTAATTGCTGATTGCTCGGGTACTCTGACTAAAATTTTAAAGATACCCTCACGATTGAGATTTTCTATTCAGTAGTATTTCCTATTTTGCTGCTTTGGGAGTTCTTGTACAATTACGCCCAGAAAATTTTTAGGCGTATTCTAGTTCTGCTATTTGTGTCTCCCCATACTTACTAATATCTGTATCTTTATACACTGGTATATTAATACGATTTCATAAACCGATATTTAAATAAATCATACCGTATCAAGTTATCTGATTAGCTTCAAGCTACACTGGCAACACAAGACACGAGATCACTGTGATATGCTGTTGAAAGTAGCTTAAGTATAAAATAAATATTATAAAATCATAAAATTAGTAGTCATCAATGCAGAATCATTTATTGCTAAACAAGGATAACTTTCCCAAATTTCAGTACTGCTAATAAAAGATCAGGATATGTATCGATAAGAATATTAATGTGACTATTGTAGCCATTATGTCGCATTCCTAATATATTTAGCCATGCAGACATTATGTAAAGTCGGGTATGAGTCGAATATGGACATCATGAATTAATATTTATGATGACATACTAGTTTAACTGTAGTTTAGTGAAAATGTCACTTTTATTTATATGCATATAATGCTAAATTTAAACCACAGCAATACTTAAACTTTTAATTTTAAAATATTATAAAGACTCAATATGGCTAAATAATACGCTAAAAAGACCTATTTTTTTTTTAGACTGGCACGCAGTTTTTTAACGACTTGAATAAGTCCCTGAATTATACATTTAAGTCCTCCGCCGTTGCTGACACCATCGGGGGGATATATGATGCAGTCTGGTCTCTCGCATTAGGCTTAAATAGGACGGAACATCAGTTGTTATCAAAAAATTCATCTTTAAATGAATTTAACTATCACAATCAGAAGATACGATCAGTTCTTGTAGAAGAACTAAACAAACTTTCTTTTTATGGAGTCACAGTAAGTATACATATGTTATTAACTGCTAAGATATAATATGATAGGATATCTTTACAACAAAACTAGTAAAAGGTTGCTTTAAGCCATATCCAGTCGTTTCACTACGGTAGTAAAATAAGATATATTCTATAATTGCTGTAGATATATTTACTTCTGGTGTAGAAGAAAAATTTTTATTTCGCTTCGGCTATTCATTCTGCAGTCTATTTAGTGCACAAAATTGCTGGCTTACTCGCATATTGCAAAGTTGGCACAACTAGTTACTAATATTTGGCATTTTCATGAAACCAATTTAATTCATATTTCTTAATTGATTTACTGGCTAGTATATTGTATTTGTTGTATGCTGTTACATAATAGGGACCCATCTCATTTAAAAATGGAAGTAGCCGTTTAGGTAATGTCATCATTTGGCAATTACAAGGTGCATTTAACATTGTATTGATTTAAAATTCCTTTCATACCTTATTTATCAAATTAAAAATAGCAAAACCTTATAATCTGTTCTTGGATTCTTTGGTACAGATTCCTACAAAAAGGTTGCTTTTTATGACATTGTACGCAATAAATTAAATATCCATAATGATACACTTAAATGGCAAGGTGGGTAATGCTACAAGCAAATTCTATTAATTAACTATACTATAACAAAACGTAATTTAATGTTGAGGGAGAGTTAAATTTAAAGCTTTAATTTACATAATTTTGTACGCAAAGTATTCTTATTTGTGGTTGCTAATCACTCTTTACCTTATGTATTACTTTCTCTAAACCATATATTGACATTTATAAGTAACGGCCCTATTTCTTTCCTTATTTAAGATGGGAAACCTCCTCAAGATCGACTAATCGTGATCGTCGTTATTAATACAATTACCGCTGGAGCATTCATTCCATTTAGCATCATTAGCTGTTTAGGGATTGTATTTTCTTTCGTTATAATAGGATTTATTGTAATTAAGAGGCATAACAGGTATTCTTAACATCTAAGAATAAAAGTTTGCCATTAATATTGATTGAAGTTTGAGGCATTTAAGTATCAAATATTTTTTTTTATTAAGATATATCAAGATGTCAAGTCCTAATTTAAATTACTGCATTTTGTTTGGATGCATACTTTGCTACGCCTCCGTTATGGTAAACGGTATGGATTCACGACTTATAGGCGTCAAGAATAGAAAATACACATGCGTTGCGAAAATTTGGTTCCTTAGCTTGGGCTTTACAATTGCTTTTGGTTCAGTAATGTTGAAGTCTTGGAGAATATTCAAAATTTTTACCAATGTAGCAAAATTGAAAATGGTAAATTAAAATACCTAATAAGTATTACCTTTTTAAAACTATCTATACCTGTTTTAATAAATCCAAACAGTATGTTTAAGTCATGTTAGGTTCGGTTATAAGTTATAAATTATTCGATCATCTGTGATCGGACATTCATTACAAATTTAAATAAGTAACATAAATTAAATCTAAAACCCAGTGTGAAACCTAGCATGCTCTATTTTCTAGTTGTTTTCGCCCTAATCCACTTCTAAGTAATAGAATGTTGTAATTATGACATTTGAGATTTTAGTTGAAAATAAAATAGAAATTGATAAGATTTTTAATTATACCACCAAAATGAAGAAATAGTTAACAAGCTTTTCCATTACAGTATGGTTGAGCGAAAGTAGAATTTGCTACGATGACGTGTAGAATAGCTTTAACGCGATTGATATCGAGTTAGAATTTGTAGCAATGCATGTGCAAATTGCTTTCTAAAATCTTACCATCAGTATAACTGCCATTTGCTCTTAGTAGTATTAGATTTAAACTATACTTCATGGTGTTAGGAAAGGACT